GCTCACAGCAACCTCCAACTCCTAGGCTCAAGTGAGTCTCCTGCCTCAGCCTCCCAAGTAGCTGGGACTACAGGTGCCTGCCACAACGCCCGGCTATTTTTTGGTTGCAGCCATCATTGTTGTTTGGTGGGCCCAACTGGATTTGAACCTGCCACCTCAGGTGTATATGGCTGGCGCCTTAGCCACTTGGGCCACAGGTGCCGAGCGGCTAAATTAATTCTAAATCGCTGATACAATTCCTAATGGGAAGGAACCCTTTGAAGTGTTTGCCTCTCCAATACTGCGTCTGCTAGAAATTAATTTACTCCACCCACCTCTATGATATGGCCACAATTAACAGCATGAGAAAATACTCATTACTACAAATATGTCTCAACTTAGGTATTTCCAGTGGGAGAAGAGAAGTAATAGAACTTATTTGTTATCCATATTAGTAGTGGATATTTCCGCTTGTTTACTTGCTATCCACTTCCCCTCTTCTTAATGAACCCAACTTTGTACAGGTTTCCATTTCCATCCTTTTTCAACATTTTACAGATTAACAAATAAAACTTACGATAGTTCTATGCATCAACTTTAGCAGGCTGTTGTACTTAGTTATATAATCAAAAATTAATTTAAGTGTTGCTGTAAACTGTTTTGTGGACATGGTTAATATTAATAATCAGTTGACTTTGAGTATATCACCCTCTATATTTTATATATATATATATATATATATTTTTTTTTTTTTTTTTTTTTTGCATTTTTTGGCTGGGGCTGGGTTTGAACCTGCCACCTCTGGCATATGGGGCAGTGCCTTACTCCTTTGAGCCACAGGTGTCACCCCATATTATATATATATTGTTACATATAATATGTATAAGTGTGTGTGTGAGTGTGTATGGGTCTTGTGTTGGTTCTGTTTCTCAGAAGAACCTTGATGAATACAGACCTGATCAGTATAACAGAAATTTTAAACCTACGTTAGTGGTTCTAAACCAGGCTTGTGACTCACATTGAACCAATGAAATGTGTGGAAATTTTTATCTGAAATCCTGGAGTTCTTCCTTATCATTCTGTAAGAGTTTCTAGTAGTGATTACCTCTGTCTTCCTCTAACAGTAGTTTCCTTACCTATGAGGCCTGGAATGGCAGCAGCCCTTTTATTGGGGATGAAGCTAACACACAAAGACCAAAGAGCCAGAGAACTTGCAAAAAATGGACCACTGAAGCCTGTCCTAGCTCTGGGATTTGTTTTCCAAACCACATATTTCCTCATTGTTTAAGTTGTAGTTAGATTTTTGAGACCTGCAGCCAAAATTATTCCATGTTAATGTGATATTTTCTCTCTCTCTTTTTTTTTTTTTTTGGTTGTTGTTTCGTTTTTTACCTTTTGAGACAGAGTCTGACTATGTCACCTTGGGTGGAATGCCATGACATCACAGCTCACAGCAACCTCAAATTCTTGGGCTCAAGTAATCCTCTTGCCTCAGCCTCCCAAGTAGCTGGGACTATAGGCCCCTATCATAACCCCCAGCTAGTTTTCTATTTTTAGTACAGATGCAGTCTTGCTCTTGTGTAGGCTGGTTTCAAGCTCCTGAGCTCAGGCAATCCACTCGCCTCTGCCTCCCAGAGTGCTAGGATTATAGCCATGAGCCAATGTGCCCTGCCGTTTCTTATGTGAAAGAACTTAACATAAGTTCTTTAGGACATTAAGAAGCCAGTGTAGCTAAGACAGATTCAGGGAAGATTTGAGCAAATCCCACAGGTGAGCTGGACAGGGGTCTTGCAGCCGCTATGAGCTGCACCATCGAAAAAATCCTGACAGACGTCAAGATGCTGCTGGAGAGGCTGAGGGAGCCTGATGCAGCCGCCCAGTCGCTGGTGGATCAGTTGGCGGCCCTGCACCGGCGAGTGGCCGCTATGCGGGAGGCGGGGACAGCACTTCCAGACCAGTATCAAGAGGATGCATCCGATATGAAGGACATGTCCAAATACAAACCTCACATTCTGCTGTCCCAAGAGAACACACAGATTAGAGACTTACAGCAGGAAAATAGAGAGCTGTGGTTTTCCTTGAAGGAACACCAGGATGCTTTGGTACTCATCATGAGCAAGTATCTGAAGCAGATGTTACAATTAATGGTTGCTAAAAAAACAGTAGATGCTGAACCAGTCCTGAAAGCTCACCTATAGGCGAAATGCCTATATGCCTCTGGCCAAAAAAGCCACTTGAGAGAGAGCAGTGAAAAGACTTTGTGCAAGCATACTTGTAAGAAACTGAGGCAGAATCCCATGTGGCCAGGTTGGTTGTGAGCCTAACATGACTAAGGCTTTGGCTGGAATAGCATTTCCAGACTGCGTTAAGGAATTAAGGCTGACTTTATAAGGCCAATGTGTTTTTACCCGATTTGTGATAAATATCTGGGTCCCTTAAATACATTAGAACCTCCATAGTTGACTACCTGTCTACATTGACCACCTCTGTGAGTTGACCTAATTTTCATAAGTCACATATATGTCAGTACAGTATCTAGTTCCCTATGTTGAACATCTCTGTATGTTGACCTGTTTGTTACAGTCCCTTGAGTCAACTCGTTCCTCTCTATTTTTATTTTGTCAGCTGATGATGTTAAACTTTAACAGAAGGGGGAACTAGAGAAACATTTCTGGAGCCAAAAGGTTGGTATTGGTGTCCTTTCTTGGCATGCTGATGGGCAGTTTGCTGACATGGGGTCCTGATTCTCTGATACTACTTCTGTAATGCATGGTAGCCAGCAGCTTCTTCTGACATCTACCTTGGGAAGTTTTGCAGCAAAGTGCTTCCAGTGAGACACTTTCCCATGAACAGTTTTCCCTGGTACCTTAAAAAATAGATTTCTGGCAAGTTCCAGAGGATAAAGTTTCAACAGTTTCCATTACTGTGGACCACATTGACTTCCTAGCCATCCAGTGATCCACTGCTGTAAGCTCTCCAACAAGGTCTGGATCTCTGTCCTGGGGAGTGACTGATTCCTCTACTTGCTATTCCTCTACTCTTTAGAACTTTCTTACTTTTTACTAGAGATTATATTGACACTCCAATTCCCTGTTATAGTTAATATTTCTTTATATTAAACATCCCCTGTTCAAATTACTATGTGGTTCTCTCTCCTGATTGGATCCAGACTAATATACTCTCGACCTGGCTGATTTTATTCAGTTGAGCATTATTATCATTTCCTCAGAAATGTCTTCTATAATTCAAATCAAATGTTATTCCTTTACTTTTCCTTTATAGAACTCTTCATAATTTTAAAATTATACACTATACAAATAATACAAATATATTATTTGTATTATTATTATTATATCCCTATTTTCTTCCTACTAGATAATAAGGTCAAAAAGGGCAGGGATTATGTTTATTTTGTTTATTGCTATAATCCCAATGCCTGTCATAATTCCTGATTATCAAAATACTAAGGCAGAAAATAATCAATGAGGGCTTACTGTATAGAAGTCACTGGTGACAACTAAAAAAAATCCCTATTCACAAGGAGTCATCAAATTTATATAAGAAAATAAGACTCATACAAAAAGTATAAAGCCTTTCATAAGTCCAAATGGTAAGTACTGATAATTCAAGGACAATTAAGAATTTTATTTTAAAAAAGACTTTACATTTATTATACACATCCCTAGAAATTAATTTCTTCTCAGCTAATTCAATTTTATTCATTATATATCAGCAGAAAGGGAAATTGTACAAATGGGAGCAATTATACATTTGAGAATTTTTTTGTTATGTTGATGGTGAATTATTATCTGAGAATTGTATTTTTTCATTTGTTCTATTCATGAAGGTTTCCTAGAATAAAAATAATTAACAATAGGGAAAAATTACTCATATTTTTTCTTTTCTAGTTTAGAAGTTCCCTTTAAGCATTTCTCTTTTTTAGAGACAGAGTCTCACTTTATCGCCCTGGGTAGATTGCTGTGTGTAAATTGAAAGACAAAGAAATTGGGTCAATCACTTATAAATCATAGCATATTACTTTCTATTTTTAGCATTTCCTATTAAATTAAAAAAACTTCTAGAAGATATAAGACAGGATGGAGATTATTCAACATATACTGTGTCAAACTGAAAAAGGAATAAACAGAGTTAAAGATTTCTTTGACCAGAGACAAGAAAGCTGTCAGAGAATGCAAAATGGAAGTTAGACTTTTTGACTGTGTGCTTTGAAACTCCTCGTTGAGATGAACCTCATGCACAATTTGCTCTTACGGGGAGTTCTGTAGATGTAAAGCAATAGAGATACTTTTGTGGCTGCAAAGTTTAGTACTGTTGGGCTAGAGACTGTTAAAGTACTTTAAATGTGCGGTAGTTAAGGGAGGTCTGCCATAAAACAAACCTTACAGCTAAAATTCAGATTTAGAAAAGCCATATTCAACCACATAGACTGGGCAACTCCACTAGTGTTTGCAGTTCCCCACAGGCGTACCGTTTGGAAATTCGGATACGCTACACGGAGGCCGGCAAGGTTTCTATTTCTGACCAGAGGATTATAATCATTTTATTTTAGCAACCTTTTTAGTACAAGGCCAAAGCCAATAGGACACTTTCCAGACCCTCCCATCAGTTTTCCGGACTACAGCTAAACAGGGATACACGAGGGCGGATGTCAAACCGCATCCTGCCAGCCAGACACTGCCAAGCCCATCCCCGTCCTCCACCCAGAAAGAGCTGACTTTCTATTGGAGCACCCTGGGGGCATGGCTGCTTCCCGATTGGTTCAGAGGAGGAGGCGAGAGAGAGGCGTGTCTCTACGTCACACCCGCCTCTACAGTCTCCTAGTTGCTCAGGGTTGTGGAAGGGTTGGGGTAAGAAAATAACCCGGAACGACCTTTACGAGCCTCAGTCGGCCCTCTTCCGGAGCTGATGTCTCCTCCCACCAACCTTGTGAACTCCGCCCCATGCCCCGCCCGCGCTGGGCGTCAGGTGATCTCAGGCCAACGCGGTCACGTGGCGGGGGCGCGCCCGCCTGTTGTAGCCATGGCTGCTGCAGGCCCTGGTGTGGTGAGGCGAGTGGAGGAGCTCGGGGACCTGGCTCAGGCCCACATACAGCAACTTAGTGAAGCTGCCGGTGAAGACGGTGAGGGAGAGGAGGAGAGGGAAGTGGGTGGGGCGAAGCGGTCCAGGGTTGGCGCTCGAGGGCTGTGAAAGCTGGAGGCTGCAGCCCGGTGGTCGGTAGAGGTCCCAGGCCGTAGCGAACCGAGGTCTTCTGGCCTCCGCTGCGCTGTTTGCCGGCTCCTCGGAACTCACATTTGAGGGCATTGGCTTAATAAACCCGTTTTAGATCCGGGAAAATCTGTCCTGTTAGGGTATCTCAGCCAGATCTTTGCTGTCAGGTTTAACTGTCTCAGAGACTAGGAAGAGCGTAGCGTCTGAATAAAAGTATAAGGGAAAGTTTACATTATTGTTTAATGTAAGTGTTAGTACTCAAAATAATAATGGTGGTTTTGCATCCGGTAAAGATAGATAGGCATGTGTAACAACCTCACGTTTTCATTGCTGCGTTGTAAAATTATGATTTATGTTTTGGATTTAAAACTTAACTGTAAACTATTCTACAGAAGAGATTTACATTGATGTAATTTAAAATATACTTTCACATACATCATCCCAATTCTCACAGACGCTCTGTATTAGAACACTTACTTTGGAAACTTATGGGCGATTTCTTTAGGAAAAAGTGGCTTAGAGAATTACTTTCATCTTCTCATTTTAAGTCCAATATTGTCTTCATTATTTCTTAGCTGCCGGTAGTTCTATGCTAACACCTTTCTGAGTTTTGAGTCCTTATTACAGATAGGTTTTAAAATTCTTGTCGACTGATTTATTGTCATCAGATTCATAGGAAAACAAAAGTGAACATTTAGTTCCCAAGCGATTGAATAGTTAGTGAATTTAATAGAGTCTGTGATAAAATGCCCTCATTTCAGTGAAGATTCTTTGCCAAATTATCTTTTCTCAGGAGTTTGTTTCTTCAGTGACCCACAGACCACAATGAAAGTGATTTTTTTTTCTTTTTGGTTTGTGGTAAGTGAACCCTAAGATTCACATGAATAATTCTTGGGTAATAGATAGTAACTATTACTTGGAAGTGTGTTTACCTTAGCTCTAATTCCAGCTCCATTTGAAGCAGTCCAAATATATGAAAGAATGTTTTTTATTCAGTTCTTATGAAATCCAACAGCCATTTCCATTTTCCTTGGAACAGTTCTTTAATCCTGTCTAGAAAGAGTGAGGGCTGGAAATAAAAGTCAGTGGTGCTAAGTATTGTATTCTTGTTGGGAGGCTTTACACTTCTGAAAATTTGCTACAATGGTTCATATTATGACCTATAATCAGTATTGAAATCAGTTCAATCTTATTAAAGTATTAACTAGCATGATTTTCTTTTACGAAGTTTATAATAAGATTTGCATGTATTTGAATTGAACTTGGCATTCTTTTCCCACACAACAAAAATAATACACAAATTCAAAATTTGTCCTTTAATGTAACAACCATGTATAATATTTATATGAGGTTATAGAAGTTTAATATTTCTCATTGTCTTCTGAAATTAGATCAAATACAGTAAGAAATTATTCCTTTTAAGAATGTTATCTTTTTTATTTCTGGCCAATTCATTTATTTCTCATTGTACAAGAATAAATATGTTTACTATCTGGAAGTATACCATGAGAGGAACTTTTTCCAGAGATATTATTCTGCTTTGCCAATCATTTGACGAATTTAGTTTTAGCTAAAGTACTGTATTTTTATGGGCTTTTCCGAAATGTCAAACCCTCCTTACATACATAGTAATTAGAGTTCATGTGACATACATCTTTAGCAATGGTTTAGTGAGTTGATGCAAGCTTTTACGTTTAAAATAATCTGCAAGCTAAGGAGAAAATATCAACACACTTTCTTTTGAGACAGAGTCTCACTTTGTCACCCTTGGTAGTGTGCTGTGGCATCACAGCTCACAGCAACCTCAAACTCTTGGTCTCAAGTGATTCTCTTGCCTAAGCCTCCCAAGTAGCTGGGACTGCAGGCACCCACCACAATGCCTGGCTATTCTTAGAGACAGGGTCTCTTTCCTGCTCAGGCTGGTCTCTAACTCATGAGCTCAAGCAGTCCGTCTGCCTCAGCCTCCCAGAGTGCTTGGATTACAGGCGCCAGCCACTGTGCCCTCCCCTCTATACAGTTTAAAGGCAGCACCTAAAGAATGCTGTGTTCCATATAATTTCAGTTCATAGTAGTATTTTTTTTTCTGAGTTGTATGGGTGTTACTTCTGGGCTAAGGATAGGAAGATAGTGCTAAAGAAGTAGCTGTCAATTCAGGTGAATAGTAGATCTTACAGTGATCAGAATCTGGTCTATGATGTATAGGTAGTCTTTACCTGGGAAAACTTAGTCATCATATGATTACCAGGGGACATAACCTGTTGGTACTTTTGCTCCAAAACTGGACAGATTACCTGTCTATATAACTGATGAGGTTGGATCAGATGAGCCTGGAACAACATCGTCTGTTGGCCAATGACAGGAAAGGGTCTGTATTTCAGAAAGGAATCATAGAGGGGTAAACTCAGACATTTCAGTGTCTCCATATCTCAATTTGACTGTATGAAGTAAGGCAGAAGGTTGTACAGTATTGTGGAACAGATTTATTTTATTTTATTTTTTTTGAGACAGAGTCTCACTATGTTGCCCTGGCATCACAGAGTGCCCTGGCATCACAGCTCATGGCAACCTCAAACTCTTGGGCTTAAGCAATTCTCTTGCTTCAGCCTCCCATGTAGCTAGGACTACAGGTGCCCACCACAACATCCTGCTATTTTTTTGTTGTAGTTGTTGTTGTTTAACTGGCCCGGGCCAGGTTCAAACCCTCCAGCCTGGGTATGTGTGGCTGGTGCCATAGCCACCGTGCTATCGGCACCAAGCCACAGGGAGCAGACTCATAAGAAAAGGTGAAGTCATACAATAAATGAAGGAACTATGACATTAGAGAAAGAGAAAAAAATTAGGAGACAGTAAAGGGGGAGAGAGAGTGAGTTGTGATCAGAGGGCATATCAAGACTAGTTTGTTTTCTTCTAGATTTTGAAGAAACAGGGTAATTTGTTTCATGTCTAAGTTTTTAAAGGAATAAAATGCACAAGTACGTTATGCAATTTTAATTGTTAAGCTATAAATACAATTATGTTAAACTTATAATGGTTCAAAGTGTTGACATTTTATGAGGCATTTGATTTGGGTCAATTGTGTTTGTTTGTTTGTTTGTTTGTTTTTTTCACAAAACAATGTTTTATTTTCTTTAAATACTTTTAAGACAGGGTCCAGGGTGGCCTCCTGGGCTCAGGCAACCCCCAGTAATGCCTGTCTACAGAAGACTTATTGTGGGGGAGGGTGGTGTTGGCAGAGAACGGTGCAGAGGAAACCCAGGCCAGACCTGAGGGGAGCTCAGGAGGTCCGGATGGCAGGCTGTTTGGGGGAAGGACTGATGAGAGCATCCTTCTAAGTGGAAACAAGTTGCTCTTAAGATGTCTTCCTTAATCAGTGTGGGCCGATTGTGTTCTTTTAGAAAACATTTACAATTACATTTATGAAATTATAAGTTTTTAGTGGAAACCCTTTCTCTAGGTTTATGTATATTATTTATACTATTCCAGTGAAAGTTTTATACTTGATCTTAGCCAAAAGGCTGAAAAGTGATACCAATTAAAGGTATTTTAAGTGTATCAACATCTTAAGTAAATATTGTGAGAATACAGATACATTCAAGAAAAGGTAACAATGAATTCAGAAAGTTTTCAGTCTTTTCCTTTCTAGAATAAATTTTTGTAGTTAAGATTAGGCATTCTGGTATATTTTATGCTTTAGATAAGGTATTATTACTACCATGATATTTCTCCATGTATCAAAATTTTCCTCTCATCATTTTAAATATATAATTGCTTCTATTTAAGTAGTACTCTAAAACTATGTGATGTAACCATCATATTTTTATTCCTTACAGATCACTTTTTAATTCGGGCCTCTGCAGCATTAGAAAAATTGAAACTCCTGTGTGGAGAAGAGAAAGAATGTTCAAATCCATCAAATCTTCTAGAACTTTACACACAGGTATTGAACTTTCTGTTAGGAAGTACATGAAGGTGGTTTTGCCTTCAGATATGATGAGCCTAACAACTACTTACAAACCCCAAAGAACTGTTACAGTCCGGCAGGTACTTTGCTTCACTGTCTTTCTTTCAGGAGCTTCCTGCTTATCTGCATATGATGGATGTCATCTCATTTTTTTTACATCAGTATTTTAAATATTTTAATTTATTTTCTAGAATAAGGCAAAAGACCTAGAGATATAGATTTAAATTTCCCAGACCCCTGAATTCTCTTTATGATTTTGAATGAACAGAGAGATCACTTTCTGCAGGATGATAATCTCTCCTTCCTGGCTTAGCCTTCTATACAGTAACACTTAGCACTTCAGGAGCACTAACTGTGCTGTAGGTAAAGTTCCTGGTGCATTAACTAATTCTGGAATTTAGAAAGGTGTTGAGTCCAATTTGTAATTTTACTAATGAGAAACTGAGGCTCAAAGCAGAAAAAATTTACTTAACCATGGTTATTTAGATGATTAGTGGTGGGACTGAAACTAGCACCCAGTTTCCTTCGTTTTAGCTCAATAGAGTAAAAAAACTAAAAGAATTGGGGAGTTTTAAGGTACCTGAACAGCATGTCTTTAGTATTTAGGAATGTTGGAGACTTAGTATCTGAATTCCATAAGGTTGATTGTATGCTTCCTTCACTGGGTGGCGGGATACGTATCCCCCAAATACTGGCTCTGCATTTAGAAAAACATAAATCCTTTAAAGATTCAATATACAGAACTATAGGTAGTTGCCTTAATTTGATACAGCAGACATATAGAAAATTTTCAGGAATTATATATGTATAAATAGCAAATAATATAATAATTACATTTTTCTTAATTGTATATAATTAAAACAAATGTGTTTTATTTTTGGAGGAAAACAAGATTATCATTAATTCAGTACTTTAGTAAAATATCTATGAAGTTTTCTGTAAGATTGTCTCAAATTATGTTTAGATACAGGTATTTTGTCTACTTCTCAAACTTAAATACTGTTCTAAAAGACTTAAATGCCTAATAAAGCACCTATATGTGCAAGATTAAACTGTAAGAATTATTCTTTCAAATTAAATCATTTTTAGGTACCTTTTTTTTCTTTTTCTTTAGGCTATTTTGGACATGACATACTTTGAGGAGAACAAGCTAGTAGATGAAGATTTTCCTGAAGATACTTCTTCACACAAAGTAAAAGAGCTGATCAGTTTTCTTTCAGAACCAGAAATTTTAGTTAAAGAAAATAATATGCATCCAAAAGTAAGTTTTGCATTCCTGGGAATTATGGTGAATGTTATTAGTTCTGGCTGTCCTGCTCTTGAAGTCTGGGTTTTTCTTCTTGAATGTATCTTTATTTCTGTTTTAAATTAAGATTGAAGGAGGGAGATAAGAGAGCTCAACACTTCATACCAGTGTGTCACAACTAAAGTATCATATTTTAATAAATGTTTCAGAATATTTGCATAATTCATATGAGATTGTAATTGCAGTGCCTAATCATTTTTTAAACAGATAACTCTCATTTCTGCTCCCTTTATCTTTGCAGATGCTGTGTTTTCTTGAAGGTTACTCTTAATCTAATTGCCATATCTGTTGTCCTTGTTACAATACTTGTCCTTCTGAACATATGTTGATTTTCTTAGTATTGATCACCCCTTTCCTCTGAGACTTGAATGCTCCTTTCTCCTTCTTCATCTTTTTTTTTTTAGGAGGTAGGATCTTGCTTTGTCACCAGGCTACAGTGCAGAGGTGGCGGCCTGATCATAGTTCACTGTAACCTCCACCTCAGACTCCAAATAGCTGGACCTACAAATGCATACCACCACACCCAGCTAATTTTCCTCCTACCTTGTCCTCCCAAAGTGCTGGAATTACAGGCATGAGCCATCAAACTAGGCCATCTGCTGAGAAGCTTTCTTTTGCTCTTTCCCTGGCAACTACCATCTCTTCCATTCTAAAAACTAAAGTTGAAAGAGTAACACAGGATAACTCATTGTCTCTGACAACCTGTTCATGTGCATTGTATTGTTGACTCTAGATAATTCCAAGATTCATATCAAGTGTTCTTGTCCTGAACACTCTTTCAAACAAATAATTCCTCATCTTTAACTGTCTGCTACTATCTGCTTAGATATCTTTTTTATTCTATATATTTATCAGGGAAGGCTAACTGTGGAAACTCATCTTCCCCAGGTTTAAATGATATACTGCTGTAAAAATTTTGGGTTTTTGCGTATAGCTTTTCACTAGTTTATTCTAGCAGTAATAGAAATCGTGTTACTTGCTTCAAGTAACATTTCTAAAACGTTATATTTTTAATCAGATTATAACTACTTACATTTCAAATATATTAGGGCAGTATTCTACTAAAAATATTTTTAAATTATTTAGTAAACCTATTTATGAATTTGAAGTAGTTATTTTCATTTTCATGTAGCAGCAAACTTCTGTGTTTTTATGATTCTGAGTAAGGCATTCCTTTGGAAGCAAAGGGCACATTTTGTGACATGAGAGTGTTTTTAATTGATGCATTTTTGAAATTTAGCTTTGACTTTTATAAATGTCAAATTCTCTTTATCTATGTCTTTTTTTGTGTTGTAGCACTGTAATTTGCTTGGGGAAGAGCTACTGGAATGTCTTTCTTGGAGGCGAGGAGCTCTACTATACATGTATTGTCATTCTCTGACCAAAAGAAAAGAGTGGCTCTTGAGAAAATCTACTTTGCTTAAAAAGGTAAAGAGACCTTCCTTATACATTTTTGATTGTCGATAATTATAGGTTTCAAAATGCTGTCTTTGTTATAATGGTAAGAGTAGTAGAACCAACAGGTCTGGCTGGATTTGTGTTCTAGATCTTTTACTTCCTGTGCCTGTGTAATCTTAAATAAATTGGGATTGTTTTGAAAAGTAAATATGATAGCACATGGAAGGACTGTGTGAACTGGGAAGTTCTACATGCTTTTTTAAAGATCTATATTTTTATTATTTTAAATATAAAATAAACTATTTTAATTTTTAAGCTTTTTTTCCCTCTGGCCTAAAGAAAATACTTTGTTGTGAGCATCTCTGTCAACCAAGTAGTACTTCTAGAGAACCCACATAACTCTGCTCCTAGAAAACTGTTCTGACCAAATCATTAAATCCAAAAATATGGATCTTACTATTTTATCACTAAGGATTTGATCTTGCATTAAATGTACACAGAGGTGGGACTGGAAATGGAAGGTTGTCACACTTTCAGATGTAAAAGTTTGATCATAATATTTTTATATTATAAGTAGATACATGTTTTTAATAAATTGTTGAACACATCTTTATTATTTTTATCCTTTTTGCCCTCTAACATCTGTGACATGTATATTAATGAAATGTGTTCTTGGTTGACCTTTTTTTTTAATTTTACTAATTGGGACGTTTGAAAGGGTATACTTATATTATGAATGTCTTGGAGTGGGCAGGGCCTTATACCATTGAAATGTAATGGCCATAAGCTACGTCTATATATTAGCCCACTTTTTTTCTTGAGTAAAGACTGGAAAAAAGATTAATATTTGAAGTTTATACAGCTTTGAATAAAATGCTTTTAATTCTTTGGCTTTGACTTTCATTTAGTACCTTGTTGATGGGATCAGTTACTTGCTACAGATGTTAAATTATCGATGTCCTGTCCAGTTAAATGAAGGAGTTTCTTTCCAAGACCTAGACACAGCTAAATTACTGAGTGCAGGTAATGTGATCTCTTTTTAAAGTTTTGTAAGTGATTTAAATCTTTTTAAGGTTTTCTAGCCAAAAGCTAGTGAAATGGAGATTGTAAGAAACAATCTCTTTGTTAGATTTTACTCTGATTTAAATAAATTTCAAGCTTGATTGTAGACAAAAAAGTAATTTAAAAAGTTCAAAGATCAGGGCAGCACCCGTAGCTCAGTGGGTAGGGCTCTGGCCATATGCACTGGGACTGGTGGGTTTGAACCTGGCCCAGGCCTGCTAAAGCAACAATGACAACTGCAACAAAACAAATAGCTAGGTGTTGTGGTGGGTGCCTGTAGTCCCAGCTACTTGAGAGGCTGAGGCAAAAGAATCGCTTAAGCCCAAGAGTATGAAGTTGCTGTGAGCTGTGACACTGTGGCACTCTACCCAGGGTGACAGTTTGAAACTCTGTCTCAAAAAAAAGAAAGTTCAAATATTAGAATCTTTTTATGTAGGCCATGTAGTTGGCTCACGCCTGTAATCCTAGCACTCTGGGAGGCTGAGGTGGGTGGATTGCTTGAGCTCACAAGTTGGAGACCAGCCTAAGCAATAGTGGGTCCCTGTCTCTGCTAAAAATACAAAAAAAATTGGCAAGAGGAAAAAAAAATTAGGCTCAGCACCTGTAGCTTAGCAGCTAGGGCGTCAGCCACATACACTGGAGATGGTGGGGTTGAATCCAGCTTGAGCCTGCCAAACAACAATGACAACTATTACCAAAAAATAGCTGGGCATTGTGGCGGGTAGCTGTAGTCCCAGCTACTTGGGAGGCTGAGGCAAGAGAACTGCTTAAGCCCAAGAGATGAAGGTTGTGGTGAGCTGTGATGCCATGGCAATTTACCCAGGCTGACATAGTAAGATTCTGACTCAAAAAAAAAAAAGAAAGAAAGAAAAAGAAAAAAACTTAGGCAAGAGGATCACCTGAGCCCAAGAGTTGGAGGTTGCTGTGAGTCATGATGACAATACAGCATTCTACCCAGGATGACAGGTTGAGACTCTGTCTCAAAATAAAGAAGAATCTTTTATGCAATATAGAAAAATGCTTCTAATCTCTTCTGTTTAATAGTTTTGGAAGAGTTATGTATTGTGATATATTGTGGTTGCGACAGTGATAGTTTTAGTTACTTCACAGCTCCAATCAACATTTTGTCAGAACTAGGTTTCGGTATTTGTAACAGACTGGAAATAACTTTTCAACAAGGTAGATGTTTAGTGATCTTTCCCGTAGAAACCAGAGAGCTAGTACAGTGGCTCCATGGCATCATCATGTTATTATATTTTCTCCATTATCTTTAGAACCAGAACCCTTCACTTCAGGGGAGGCACTTTATATAATAGAGTATAATATAAGTGATGCTTTTCTGATTAGAATACTGCTTCATTTTCTGGATCCCAAGATGCTCTTGGACATCCTTCTATCTCACCTGTGTTTCAGGCTACAGGAATGGCTAAAGGAATTTCTTACAGTCAAATCAACTCCTTTACAGAAGCCTTCTTAGTTTCTTACAATCTCCATTTCACTGGCTAGAATTTAATCAGATGACTTAACTATGAGGAAACCTGGGAAGTATGGTACTTAACCTGATATATTCCTATCCAAAATAAAATTAAGGTTCTTTACTAAGAAGGCAGGGGAAGAATTTATACTGATGGCAACCATCAGTTTCTGCCACAAACATCTATGTTCTTGAAAATTTTAGGAACTGAATTTAGATTGTTATCTGGGTTTTAGACTGGAGCGGGGGGGAAAGAAGAACCCTTTACTTTTAATGTCTCTGTATAAGCTGAGGACCTGAGGTCCAGGTAAACTAGGTGACCTGCTTAAGGTCACATAGCTGCAAGTGACATTAGATCATATGTGCAAACTTGTCTTTATCTGAAATTTTTATGGGAAAAAAAGAAATAGGAGAAATAGTAAGAAAACTTCTTGGAAAATTCTAGAATTTTAAGTATATTTTAATTCTTACTTTTTTATTAGCCTCACTAGGATTTTCCTTTCTCTTTAAAAACATTTCATAGATAGAACAGGGTGATTTAAGTGTCATTAACATGGTGTCCAAAAATTGTTACTTTTTGTTCATTAAGACAACTTTTTTATCCTAAAGTAACTTATTGTACCACAAAGAGCTCCCCAGTGGGCAGAACATTTTGACAAACATAGGATGTTTTGATGTCTTTCTGGAAAAGATATATTAGTTCTGTTCTTCCAAATAAGTAATGAACCAATTAAAAGCATTGAAAATGGCCTTTTTAAAATCTCCTCAACTCACTCAAATGGACTAATTAAATTGAAGTCTTACCCTGGGGTACTGTTTAAAAGAAAAAGGTCAGGTAGGCACTAAGGCTTATTTAGAACAAAAGAGAGTGGCACAAATCACCTGTTTTTCTCATTCTCCTATTGCTAGCTATAAGTTAATGATACTCTTCTGAATTTTTTCTTCAGCAGGCATGTGACATTGGTGCTTTTTCTTTGTCATTCTTTGAATTTACTAGTCCCTACCTTCAATCACTTCCACAGTAGAAATCAAAAGAGTCAGATAGTGGTCTGGGTGCAGTGGCTCACACCTGTAGTCCTAGCACTCTGGGAGCCTGAGGTGAGTGGATTGCTTGAGCTCAGGAGTTTGAGACCAGCCTGAGCAAGAGTGAGACCCTGTCTCTACTAGAAATAGAAAAATTAACCAGGTGTTATGGCAGCGGGCACCTGTAGTCCTACTTACTCAGGAGGCTGAGGCACGAGTAATCACTTGAGCCCAGGAGTTTGAGGTTGCCGTGAGCTAAGATGACACAGTACTCTAGCCTAGACCACAGAGTAAGACTCTGCCTCAAAATAAAAAAAAAAAAAGAATCTTAAATCATTTTCCACAAGTAAGAAAACAATATGGGCAGCACAGCAGTTTTGCCATAGCCCTCAGTCTTCTTACGGTGTTAACTTCTTATTCTCAGTTAAAGAAGGTTGTTGTGTCCAAATCCATCCCTCTGAACATGATTAGATTATAGGCTTAGATCACTGCTAATACCTCATCAGAGAGGCTATATTTATTATTATTACTACTTTTTTTTTTGAGACAAATTCTCATTATGTTGCCCTTGATAGAGTGCCATGGCGTCACAGCTCACAGCAACCTCAAACTCTTGGACTTAAGCAATTCTCTTGCCTTAGCCTCCCTACTAGTTGGGACTACAGGTGCCTGTCACAACACCCGGCTGTTTTTTTTTGTTGCAGTTGTCATTGTTGTTTAGCAGGCCCAGGCCAGGTTTGAACCCACCTGCCTTGGTGTTTGTGGCTGGCACCTTAACCGCTGAGCTACAGGCACTGAGCCTCTAATTATTTCTTGTTAGCCAATCTAGAATCTGTAATTCTGAATAATTCCTAATATTTGGGGAGTAAAGTTCTATGTGAGACATCAAAATATTTTTGTGACTAGATCTTGGTGATATTATTTAAATCTAGGTAAAACAGTGTATAATTTTTGTTTTTTTCCCCAAGGCAAGATAATCATGTTGTTGTTTAGACATACTTGTATGTCATTAAATTTTCAGCATTTATGAATTACCAAATAATGTATACAATAATCCCACATACCTTAACCATGAGTACTCTTCCTTAAAGTGGGATCAAAGAACTTTAATCTTTGGATATAAACTTAATCAGACAAAAGGTTTGTAAAAATAGCCTTGTCAGAACTCAAGTGGGGGTAAATCAAAATACTGTTCAGCTTTTACATCCTTAGTTTATGCCCTTTTTAATACCACTGAGGACCCTGTATCCTCTATAGTTGTGAACTGATATCACTTAAGGGTGTACAAGGGCAGCATGCTGAAAAGAGGTAGTTAATGGGTACAAACATACAATTAGAAAGAAGTAAGGCTTGGTGCCTGTAGCTCAAGCGGCTAAGGTGCCAGCCACATACACCCGAGCTGGCGGGTTCAAATCCAGCCCGCCAAACAACAATGACAACTACAACCAAAAAAAAATAGGCGAGGGCATTGTGGTGGGTGCCTGTAGTCCCAGTTACTAGGGAGGCTGAGGCAAGATAATTGCTTAAGCCCAGGTGTTGGAGGTTGCTGTGAGCTGTGATGTCACAGCACTGTACCCAAGGTGACAGCTTGAGGCTCTGTCTCAAAAAAAAAAGAAAGAAGAAATAAGTTCTAAGGTTGATAGCAGAGTATGGTGGCTATAATGAACAATAATGTATTATATTTTTCAAAATAGCTAGGAAAGAACTTGAAATGTACTCAATAATAGAAAGGATACTCAGGTGATGGATATCCTAAATACCCCAATTTGGTCATTACATAGTCTATGCATGTAACAAAATTTCACATGTATATAATATACATAATATATACAAATATACCAAAAATAATTTGTATGACATATTTCTGTGTAACCTGTGTAGCTGTGTAGCTTCTGATTCAATAGATGAAGCCTAGGAATCTACTTTTTAATAAGCATCCTTAATTGTTATGATGTAGGCAGATTTGGACATCACTGCTCCCAGAAGGTGCCAGCCTGGCTGTTAGGTCTGTCTGTATGTTTTTGGTTAGTTCCCAGTGTCAAGAAAGAGAATTCATCCAAGTTAAGCCAATGATAAAGTGATCACAGATACAAAGCAATCACATACACAGCATTTATTGCAATGCTAAAGTACATCTCAGAGGGAAAGATGGGCCATTCTCTGCAAGTCTGCACACTATCTTTTATGTGCTCACTAGTTTGTCCTGCCTTTCCCCTGGCAGGATTAGTTACTGTTTCTCACCTTTGGTGTGATTGACAGGTCAGGGTTATATAAGAGATTATGTAACAGGTTAGGGTATATAAGTTTTCTTCCTACCCATGCATCCTACCCTTTCATCCTTCATGAAAACTTACATTCATGGTATGCTAATTAGATGGTAATGAGCCCTATGTCAGTTAAAGGTCACTAGGAGCCCCTTACTATGTTCGTCCCCACCAGGGAACAGTTCCTAGCTGCAATTTGGTTCCTAGCTACAATTTAGTTCCTGCTTATCGCCCTTAGCTACATCCTTGCCCCTTGTTTATCCTCCATCAGACCTAACATGGCCACTTTTTTTTTCTGTGACAGTCATCTATTTGCCCTCTCACTTCATGGAGATTTTTTTCTCTTCTCCATCCCTCCATGTAATACACATATCCTTCTCACTATCACATATGTTTTTACTAAGGGCATGTACAATGTAGTGTTTTACTGAAAAACCATGCTTGGTAGTACCAGACAAAGAAAATATCAAGGAAAATTAATAGAAACAAAGAGCCTAAATCTATGGAGTAGTGGATTCCTTGTAGGAATAGAAAGGAAGAAAGTGCCTAATTTTTACCTTGTTCATCTCTTCCTTTGATATTTTAATGCAGTAGTTTTGAAAGTATTTTATAGACCAGCAGTATCAGAATCACCATAGGCTTTAGGAATTGTTTTAAGAAAATCCAAATTCATAGACCCAACCCTATACCTAAATGTGAAATTGGAGTGAAGGGTCAGCAATCACCATTTTAGCAAGTCCAAAAGGTAATTCAAATGCAGGCAAAAGTTTGAGAACTACTGTTTATCATATAGCCATTCATTCTCTTTCTACTAATGCTTTCCTTGTAGCATATCTCTCTATAGTGGTCGTTGATCACTCCTTGCTAATATAAAGAATGAGGTTAAACTAAAGAATATGGCAAAAATTGTTTCTCAGCTCTCTCTTAAGAAAACATTTTTCATCAAGTGACTTCATTTTATGGGACATAACTGTAGCTCCCCCTCTGAAGGTTCTAGCATGTTTGAAAATTCAACTTTCCTTCCATTTTTGCCTCTGTCTCCTTACTTTCCTACACTGATCTTTTTAGAAATAACTAGACAGTGTAGGATCACAAAAATAAAAAGGATATATATTCAAATGAGTGTTATGTCTAATAGAAAATAATTCTGATTAATATCAGTGCTGTCCTAGTCTTTTCTTTGAGGTTTGCAGTTTTTTTGGAGTACAAAGGAGCAAAGTAAAAAGTGATTACGTGTCATATGACTTGTACTCACAAGGTAAAATTTGTTCCATATATACAAAGCATGATATAGTGCTGCCTATCATGTTTTCTTGAATGCAAGTCTCATATTCTGCTCTTCAGTGGTTATTTTTTTTACTGATTAATATGTTAATGAGTCACCTATTTTGTTAAACCTGTTGCTTATCTTGCTGCTGTTTACAAGCAGAAATTTGAGGTGAAGTGAAGTTGAAAACTGTAGGGATTAAAAACAGAAACTACCAAAGTTTTGACAGTTGAATTTTTCATTTTTAGTACCATCATAGTCATTTCTGTTGAAACATACTAGGCAAGCAGCTGAATTATGATGCTCATTTTTTTTCTGTAACCTTTTCTAATCACAGAAGTCCATTATAACCATTTATTTTTACTTTTGTAGCCTCAAGAAGTTAAATGCTCCTATATTTTAATAATAATAACTGGTTCCTGAAGCTTTCATACATTTTTATTATATACATTCCTTAAGAAAACTCTATGAATTCAGTAGAGCATGTCAATCTTCATTTTTCAGATTTATTAGTTGAGATTTAGAGTATTGGTAACTTGCCCAGAGTCACACAAAGACAGTAATTTATCTCCAGATGTTTTTGATTCAAATAGGTCTGTTTGTCTTTCTGCCAAATTAATATACTTTATGCATCATAAATGCTTAATTATGTAATTGTCTATTGGAAAAACTACCTGTAACAAGAATGCATTTTGATAAAAATTCTTCAGTATATTTTTTTCCTGGTAATACAAAGTATCTTAGCATCTTTAATTAAATATAGAATTATATGGCCTCTTGGGCATGATTATGCATAATATTTTCTGTAGACTCCTAGAGAAATATAGGAGCTATAGGATACTTGACTGTAGTTATATCAATTATTCTACAGCATACCCCAAAATAAAAGTTGTGTCTATAGATGGGATTAGGGAGTTTTTAAGTACTCAGAAATTATCTGCACACTTTTGAGTGTATATCCTGGATTAAATCAAATTCTCAAAAAAATTCTAAAGAGGATCTATAAAAGGTTAAGAGGTTCAGTGCCTGTGGCTCAAGCGGCTAAGGTGCCAGCCATGTACACCTGAGCTGGCAGGTTCGAATCCAGCCTGGTCCTGGCAAACAACAATGACAGCTGCAACCAAAAAATAGCCAGGCGTTGTGGCAGGCCCCTGTAATCCCAGCTACTTGGGAGGTGGAGGCAGGAAACTCGCTTGAGCTCAGGAGTTAGAAGTTGCTGTGAGCTGTGATGCCATGGCACTCTACCCAGCGCAACAGCTTGAGGCTCTGTCTCAAAATAAATAAATAAATAAATAAAATAAAATAAAATAAATAAAAAAGGTTAAGCATACTTAGCTAAATCATTCTTTAAAAAATTTCTCTAATAGTATCCTTTTTCTTTTTGCAATGGACCTCTTTAGTAGGATAGAGATAAAAGTGCTAACAAGGATTATATTAGTGATATTTGGCTTTTCTAAGTGGTTACTGTTAAATGAGTAGAAAAACTGCTTAATGACAAAAGGAATTTATTGGACTTTAGTTAACAACTCGTGTTTCTTTTAAACTTTTAATTCTAATCTGTCAACCTAAATGACTTTCCCAGGAATATTTAGTGACATTCATTTGCTGGCTATGATGTACTGTGGTGAAATGTGTTACTGGGGATTGAAGCATTGTGCTGATCAACAACCAGAAAATTATGAAGTGGATACTGGTGTTTCTGGAGCAAGCTACCCTACACACAAAGAACTCTTGGATTTCCAAGAAGTAGGAGAAAAAATTCTGAAGAAGTATGTGTCTGTGTGTGAAGGACCCCTGAAAGAACAAGAGTGGAATACAACGAATGCAAAACAAATTTTAAACTTCTTTCAACAACACTGTAACTAGTAAAAGTTCATCTAGTTCAAACAAAAAAACAGACAGACCCAGGAAATGGAAAAGAAAGTTCCAAAAAAGAAGACATTACACTGAATTTGAGAACCTTACACTGCTTCAAGATATCAGCGTGGGTACCCTTCTTTAAATGCCATCACCATGTTTCATTATATCTTTGTAAACCTGTAAAGGACTGATTCTAAATGGCATGTGTGTTATTCTAACTACATTCAAACTACAGGTGTCCTGTCACTAATAATGAAGAGTAACTCAATTTAGCTTTGCAAAGTTTTTTTCTATTACTTTAGATTATTTTTTATTGTGGTAAATATATATATAACATAAAATTTATAATTTTAACCATTTTTAGATTATTTTTAATTTTCTTATCTTGAAGTTTGCCATGAAGATTTTTCAAAGATTAAAGTCAAGTCACCTCACTGCTTTGGATATATACCATGGATATAAATGTAAGTGAAATGGAAGGTTATGACTAATATTCAGATTCCATTTCCAATAAGGTAAATAATGAAAAATTCCACAAAGGAATCATTGTGTTCAATTATTTTGCCATGTATTACTAATTGTTTTTAAAATTTTTCTCTTTTAGGCATTTTGTAAAAATTTAAAAATGGTTTTTCTATTATATTTTTAAAACATGCATGACTCCTCAAATGAGTACTGAAGATAAAAATCAAGTTAGGTTTGTCCACCATTAATTAGTTCAGTTAATATGGTTTTAAGGTACATCTTTTCATGTGGTATTGAAATTTTAACATTTTTGCCTTTATTGATAGGGGCGAGTGTTAAAGGCCCAAGAACTAACTTGATACCTTGTTAATGGTCTTCCTGTCTACCTCAACTCCTGTTGTTATCTTGGGATGATTCTTCTGATATCTTGCTGATATCCTGGACTTCTGCCCCAGGGACTTTGTCACATTCCAGCAACTTACTCTCATGGCCACACCTTGAATGTCATCATATTGAGTTTCTCTTTTCAAAATCTTAAATTTCAGTAACTCTTCATCTTTTCAGCTTTTTCACTTCCATATATATATTCCTATATATACACACATATATATCTATACTTCCATATATTTATATGTGTATGTGTGTATATATATTTTATATATATGTGTGTATTTGTATGTATAAAAATATATATATATATATTCCCCTTTATTTTCCTTCTATAATCTTTGGTTTTTTCACAGCCTCCTGTTCTTTTTTTTTTTTTTTTTTTTTGAGACAGAGCCTCAAGCTATCCCCCTGGGTAGAGTGCCGTGGCCTCACAGCTCACAGCAACCTCCAACTCCTGGGCTCAAGTGAGTCTCCTGCCTCTGCCTCCCAAGTAGCTGGGACCACAGGCGCCCGCCATAACACCTGGCTATTTTTTGGTTGCAGCCGTCATTGTTGTTTGGCAGGACCAGGCTGGATTTGAACCCGCCAGCTCAGGTGTACATGGCTGGCGCCTTAGCCACTTGAGCCACAGGTGCCGAGCCAGCCTCCTGTTCTTTGACTGTTCCCCTTACTCCTGAGCTATCAGCCCCTTTCAGATTTTCTTGCTTCCTTACCCACCCTCAGCTTTGTGGAGCATTGTATCAACTGCTCTTACTCCTCCTTGTCTGTCAGCCTTGCCATTCTGCAAGCCTCAATTGGATTAATCCTATTTACTGTCTGCCTTTTCTGGGTTGCTGAGTTCTGTGTGAAGGGCATGCCATCCTTCAAAGTGAAATCACTGTAAGTGGCTTGCTTCAACTTTAAAAAAGCCCTCGATGTAAGCCTTTTGTTAGTTACTGGGGCAGCCTCTTTCTTTTCTCCCACTGTAGATAAGCCAAACTTCCATCACTTTCCTCAGGCCCTCTGCACCTCCCCTAGCATACGGCCCTTTCTTCTATGCTACAGAAAATTGAGACTATTAGAGGGTCAACTTATATTTGCCAACTGACACTTTTTCCCCTGCTTGAGAGAAAAAGAGGTTGCCTGTTTCCTATGGAAGGTAATCTGTGCTACTCATTTCATCTCTGCAGTCTCCCTCATTTCCCCGTGGCATCTCAGTTTTAGGTATTGATCTTCCTTAGGGTTCTGTCCTCCTCCTATTCCTCCAACATTTTTTTCTTGTCTCTAAATCCTCTTATGCAAAATCTTAGGATTTATGGTCATTTCTAGCCATAGGGGCTTCTTTTACCACCTATAATGTCAGACTAACTCACAAACCTGTTAAGTTGAATCCCACTTCTCTCTTGCCCCCAAACCTTATTTCAGACTGTCTGTTAAGTATTTTCATGTAGACATCCTGTAGTAATTTTAAATTCAGTATATCTAAATGAGTCCTCATCATTCATATAAAATCCTTTCTCTTTCATGTTTTCTCTTTGGATTTTCCACAGAGAGTAGGGCAACACAGAATACCTACCTTCCTGGTGTCACCTCTGCAGTCATCCTGGGTAATCGTGTTCTATAGTCCAGTGTTCCTGAAATATCTAAAACCCAGACTCCTTTTACATAATCATAAAAATTCTGTTAGCACTTTTGGGGGAAGGGGGAAATCTCTTACCATTTCTGCTCCAGCTCCTTAGCTTACTCTTATCTAGCTAAGATTTTTATTTAAGTTGACATTTAACAAGTTTTATTATGAAAGTATCTTAAGGTTTGTAAGTATAAAGGTTAAAATCATTTTTAATATGGTTTTTAGAAGCACAGAATACCCCCTCTCTAGAGCATCATGATCATCAATTGGAGGAACTTCCAGGTCTTTTCCCAAATGTATTTTGTGTTTTTTCAACTTCATTACCCTTGTAGACATTATTATTGCTGTGTCCTTCTCCGTAGCCAAGTGAATACCAATCTATCTTTTAGGACTTAGCTTCAGTGGTATTATACTCAAAGGCTTTTTAAAAAAGACCTTTCCAGTCAAAATTGGATTCTTCTGTTTTCTTTTCTCTTACTTTTCCCCTCCATGTTATTACACTGATTTGCATTTTTTGCAATTATTTTCCTTTCTAGTTAACTCTGTATTTAAAATTTTTTTCTATATACATAGTGCTTAATGCATAGTAGGCCCTTAGTAATGTTTTATGAATTAATGAGGCACAATTCTAAGTGCCAAATTCTCCACAAAAAAATGGTTGCTGCTATTGGACTTCAGATTTCCATGCCCTCTATACAAGTGGTTGACAAGGCAAATAGGGATATGTATAGTCCTCAGAGAAGTATTAATTTAGATTCCAAACCCAAGAAAGCAAGAGAACTTTCAGAAATTGGGAACTTCCATTTTGCCTTCACAGCCCTTGTGGACCAGTTGGGTCTCACTAAATGCTACAATCGTGAGGGTATTACTGGGTGCTTTTTGTACAACTTTCCATCCTTCACACAATTGGAGAATAATTTGTAGACTGTAACAGTTACAGTACTTTTTACTCTGATATAAAATAATGAACACTTTTTTGTATGTATGTGTTAAAGCCTGCTAAGTAAATTCTCTTTCATTTAGAATGAAGTAACCTCAAGTACCAAATAGTCCCTGTAAGGAAAGTCTACAAATGATTCATTCAATAACTATTGTGCGCCTACTTCATGTGCACAGGTTTTGTAGAAACTCCCTTCTGTTTCAGAGCTTATATTCTAGTGGAGGAAGTTAGACAAAACATTTTAAGAAACAAACATATAATGTGTTAAGTGATAAGTACTGTGTAGAAGAATAAAGCTGAGTACAGGGCTAGTGTGATGTGGGGAAAGGTAGGAGGTTGTCTTATTTAGGGTGGTTGGAAGGCCTATTTACTGCTTTAGTGTTTGTGTCTTCAAATTGCCCTCCCTTGGTTAAATGCCTTGCATTTCTGTACATAAAGTTTCTCTGTCTTATGGAAGTTCTGATATTGAATTCAGGAATGAATCTCTACTTACTTTCTGATTTTACCTTCTCCTTTTGGCTATATTTAAGGGGTTTCTCTCCTGTGTTGGCTTTGCTAATGTAGGTGAGTGATACCTAAAGGCCTTGTTGCATTTTTTACATTATGAGTTTCTCTTCAGTTTAGATTCTTTGATGGTTACTTAAACTCAAAAACATGTCGGAGGACTTTTTACAACCCTTAAATTTGTATGGTTCTTTCCTGCTATGAATTTTCTGATGTTAACTAGCCCTTGAAAGTGAGTTAAAGGCCTGTCTGCTTTATTGTATTTATAGAGTGTCTGACTAATGTGAATTATTTGATGCTGGTTAAGATGGAAATCATGAGTAAAGACTTTTCCTATTCCTTGTATAAAGGAGAGTGAGATGAGAGTCATAGCTAAAACCCTACAATAAAATTACATTCCCAGCTTTACAATCTCATTGTGAATTCTCTGATGTTAGTGAAGGCTTGTGTTGTATCTAAAGGCATTCCCAGATTCATTTTAATGGCATTTTCAAAAACCCACAGCTGGTTAATATGCTGGTTTTAGATTGATGCCTCTTTTATCTTTCCACCTTCCAGGGCCTTCTTTTCTGGCTCCAGTAAAGGGACCCATCTACCACAGTATCCGGGATTCTGTAGTTCTCTAGTATCACTTTTGTGTACTCTTTGTTAACAATATGAGATGATCTCATGTTATTGAAGTATTACATTAAGATACATTTAATATGTTCACAATTAAAGTATGCACTATGTATTCATGCCGGTGTTTTATCATGTTTTTTTGTTTTGTTTTTCTTCTAGTGAAAGTTTCCAAGTAGATTGTTTTGGAGCATATAATTTAAAAAAAAATAAAACCATATTGCCCTATTTGTTTCTTGTTTCCTTTTTTACATTTGGTTGTTGCATCAGAATGAAAAATGTTATCATCTCGTTTCTACTGTTCTAACTTCTGACTGTTATTTCTTGTGATCCTAATTACTTTAAAAAGCTAGGTAGTATGTTAATTAAGATTGTGGGCTCTGGAGCCCCTGAGTTTAAATCACAGCCTTGCCATTTCCTAACTGTGTGAGTCTACATAAGTTATTTAATCTTTCTGTGGTTTAACATCTTATTGTTTAGCACAGGAGTATGATTAGTACTTACTTCACAAGATATTGAAGATTAAATAAGTTAATGTTTGAAGTGCTTTCCTTCGGTGTTTAGTGTATGGTAAGAGCACAGAAGAGTTGGCTATTATTATGAATTTAGTTTCTTCGGTGTCTAGTTCTGACTTAGGTGTGTCTCATTCAGCGTGCTGATTCACGTTCCAGTGCCATCAGCCAGAACAACTGAATGACAAACTCTTGTTCTGGCCAGTAAGCACTGCCTTTTCTTTAGTTCAAGTCATATATTTCTTTCCAGAAGGGAAGCAGGATTTAGAAAAAATACTAGGACTTGGCTACGTATCTCAAATGTTTTTTGCAGTTATGTCCAAATGAAAACCTGTAATTTTCAAAAAGTTTTCAGCCCCACCCTCCAAACTCACGTATATCCACTGTATGAAGATGTATTAGTCATCTGAATATTACATATACCCTGTTTAAAACTTTTACACTTACCTATCAGCCTGATTCACTTGGTTTCTGGTACCTTTTAATCTCTTGACTCAAAAGTCACAGGCATATCATAAAATATTAGTTATCTAAATATTGTACATACTCTATTTAAAAATGGGTTATTTTAAACTCCTGGTACATCCACATGATTAAGTATTATGTAGCTGTAGAAAAAAAAGGAAAAGAAAAGAAAACACAACAAAAAAAGAAAAAAAAGGTATTATGTAGCTGTGAAAGTCAATGAAGTATATTTCTGTATAATGCTAAGGAGTGGACTTATTAAGTGAAAAACAGGGTGGATAAAGTGTAGTTTAAGAAGAGATATAAACTATGTGTGTATATAACCTTATTGGTTTGTATTTTTAAAAAGCAAACAATAAAAGGATAACTAAACTTTTTAAAAAAATTACTACCTCTGGTGGAGCAGAAGGAGAGGAACCAGATGGAAAAGACCAGGATGGAAGCCAAATTTCTTTGAATACACTTTGGATTTTGTACATTGGACTTTAGAATCAGGTACATACACTATTATAAAACAAGATTAAATCAAAGTTAAAAAGGAAAAGCCCTAAAAATCCAA